GAAGGAGAGTTTAGATAAAATTACTATCAAGTGGGTGCAGAACTCTTTGAAGAAACATACACGGGGGCTGTGTCTACACTGGTCACTTATTCTGGAAAATCAGCCGCTTTTCCGGAATAACTTGCCAGCTGTCTACACTGGCCCCTTGAATTTCCAGAAAAGCACTGACGAACTAATGTAAAATTGTCAGTGTTTTTCCAGAAAAACTATGCTACTCCCGTTTGGGCAAAAGTCCTTTTCCAGAAAACTGTTCCGGAAAAGGGCCAGTGTAGACAGCACAGTAGTGTTTTCCACAAAAAAGCCCCGATCGTGAAAATGATGATCGGGGCTTTTTTGCGGAAAAGCGCGTCTACATTGGCACAGACGCTTTTCCAGAAAAAGTGCTTTTCCGGAAAAGCATCCTGCCAATGTAGACGTGCTTTTTCCGGAAATACTTATAACAGAAAACTGTTCCGTTTTAAGCATTTCCGGAAAAGGATGCCAGTGCAGACGTAGCTGGGGAGTAGTTAACAATAGTTGTTGGTCAAATTGAGGGCCTGTTTCTAGGAGGAACTCACAGGGACCTGTCCTGCATCAGGTACTGGTCTGTATTTTCATTAACGACTTTGCCGTTGGCGCATAGAGTACAGTTCTATGTTTGAAGGTAGAACCAAGCTGGGAGGGGCTGTAAGAACATTGGGGCTGCGTCTAGACTGGCAAGTTTTTCCACACGGCTGGGGGCTGCCAATTAGCTACATGGCTCCTGGCCCCAGGAAAGGTCAGCGGCACCATTTCAGATTTTGATGGGGGGAGGGCAAATTTAACCATGATTCTGGGGGCTAGTTAGGCCCTTGATATCTCTAGTTGTCTGGGCAATAACTGAGCAGGCAGCTGACTGGAGCCTTGTGTCTACCTCCCATATGAAGGAGAGACAAATATTAGACCCAGTCAGCTGTACAACATGCTCCCACACTTTGTGGCAAGTCACTTATGGGATACTGCTGGGTTTCAACTTGCAAAATATAGTCGTACTGTTTTACCAACTCTGCGGAGGGGAGGGACCCCATTAGAACTCCTGGGCTCTATCTCAGGTTAGGGAGGGCAGTAGGGACTAGTGGGTTGCAGCAGGGGCAGATACATCTGGGTTGATGTAAGAACCTCAGAATGGCCGGACTGAGTCAGACCAAAGGTCCGTCTAGCCCAGTGTCCTGTCGGCCAACAGTGGCCAATGCGGGTGCCCCACAGAGAATGCACACAAGAAGCAATCATTGCATGATTCATCACATCATCCTTTTCCAGGCTCTGGCAAACAGGTGAGGGACGTGCAAAACACGGTGCTGGATCTCTGGCCACACGGGCTAATAGCCACCGAGGGACCTATTCTCCATGAACATATCTAGTTTTTTTTTTTGAACCCTTACAGTTTTGGCCTTCACACCATCCTCTGGCAAGGAGTTCCACAGGTTAACTGGGAAGAACTATTTTCTTTTGTTTCTTTTGCTCAGGGAGTGCCCCTGGAAGGGCAACCTAGGAGAGGTGTCTGGGAGGGAAGAGCCTCCAAAGGGAGGAACTATGAGTGCCAAGCCCCTATGGGGGAGCTGCTCCCAGCTGAAAGTCCCTTGCCAGACAATGGCAGGTGCTCCAGATCCCAGATTAACAACACGCAGCTACTCGGAGGGGAAGGGACCAGGCTGAGGCTCCCTCAGCAAATGAGACCCAAGCCCTGTGCTGAGCTGGGAGAACTTAACTCGCCACAGAGAACGGGAAAGCAACTCACAGGGGATTGCTCTTGCCATTGTCAGTCAGGGAGTCTCCCACGTGGATCTCAGCCCCCTTCAGTCTCTTCCAATAGGAGCCGTCTTCTCTGTTCTTCACCATCACCATGGAGACGGAATGCCGTCGGCCCAAGTCCACGGTCCACCAGGGCTCCGTGTCACGCTTGGTGAGGCTGCAGGAGCCACGTTCCCAGACCCCATTGCGATTTCCATCTACAGCATTTCCTGCCATGTCAAATATCGTCCCCAGGAATGAAGACGACTGAGCAGCCTGACGTCGCAGCGCCAAGTTCTGAGCTGGAATCAGAAGGCGAGAAGAGGGGGGGTGGGACGTGCCCGTTGCCAGAAAGGGTGGGGCTCCACAAAACCTTTCTCCAGCAGAGCCAGAGCCGCTTCCTGGTGGTGACACACGAACCAGGGACTGTGTGAGGGCCAGGTTCACCGTGGGAGCCAGTGACTCGAGGAACGGGAGTGACAGCAGCTTGGTGCTGGGGTTACAGCTCAGAGAGAGCCTCTCTCAGCCACCACCTCCCATACCCCATTGGTGCTGCTGTTCACATGTTGCCTCCCCCGCCTGTCCCTCCCCTGCCAGGTGCAGCCCATGCCCAGGTGAGCAGTGGGAAGGGAAGTCTCCCAGGGTTTCTGCTTTCTCACTAGGCAGAGGCTGGCACAGAAGGGACTGGGGCGTAACATGAAAGGGAACAGGTCTCCAGTCACATTGCCCTAGCTCCTCACCTCCTGGTGGTGTGATACAGCCCTGAGATAGAACCTCGACCTCACACAGGGACAGATACTCCGCCCTGCCCGGGATGACGATGGTGACGTAGCGGCCCTCCAGCCCACTGCAGCAGATGGTGCTGAGGGATCCGAGACTGGGGTCGTTGATGGTCCCGCAGCTAAAGACCAGAAGAGAAGAGGAGCAAGCAAGACTGATGTATTCAAATACATAGTGCCTGATGAAATTCACCCGTCAGTGCTTAGGGAAATAGCTGAGCCAATCTCAGAAGCATGAATGATTTTATAAAGAGCTTTCAAAGGACGGGTGAGGTCCCAAGGGACTAGAGAAGGGCAGACATTGCTCCTGTCATTGAAAACAGGGACCAAAGAGGAAGTGAGAAATTCTAGACCAATCAGCTCAACTTTGATACCTCAGGAGACACTGGAACAAGTGATCGAAGCGGGAGGATAATACAATGTTATGTGACAGCTGATTAGTGAAGAACAACTCATGCCATATCTATCCAATGCTCTCCTTTGACAGAGTAACTGGCCTAACTGGGAGAAGTGGAAACCATAGATGTGGTAGATCTCGATTTTAGGAAAGCTTTTGACAGAATCCCACATGACATTCGCCTCATAAGCAAATTAGGAAAAGAGCATCTAGATTTAATTACTATCAAGTGGGTGCAGAACTGTTTGAAAAAAACATACAAGGGAGCAGTGAACAATAGTTGATGGTCTGTAGCTAGTAGGATTTCGTAGGGTCTGTCCTGTGCTGGGTTCTGTTCTGTATTTTTATGATGACTTTGACATTGACGCACAGAGTACAGTTATACATTTGTGCTTAGAACCGAGCTGGGAGTAAGGATGAAATTCAAAACGATGTTGATAATGTGAAGAATTGGCCTGAAAACTAGAAGATAAAATTCAATAAACAAAAGTGCAAAGAACTGCGCCCAAGAAAAAAAATGTCCAACTTCAATATATTAGACCCACTCAGCTCTAAGACATATTCTGAGGTCTTGTGGCAAGTCATTTACTGGATACTGTTAGGTTTAGAATTTTAAAATACATACGGTTTTTTTTTACTAACTCTGTGGAGGGAGAGCAACCCCAGTAGAACGCCTGGGCTCTATCTCAGGTTAGAGAGGGCAGTGGGGTCTAGTGGGCTACACCGGGACAGACACATCTGGGTTTGATGTAAGAACCTCAGAATGCCCAGACTGGGTCAGACCAAAGGTCCATCTCACCCAGTGTCCTGTCTGCCGACAGCGGCCAGTGCCAAGTGCCCCAGAGGAAATGCGCACAACAGGCAATCATTGCGTGATTCATCTCCTCACCCATTCCCAGCCTCTGGCAAACAGAGGTGAGGGACATAGAATCATAGAATCATAGAATAATAGGACTGGAAGGGACCTCGAGAGGTCATCGAGTCCAGCCCCCCGCCCTCAAGGCAGGATCAAGCTCCGTCTACACCGTCCCTGACAGATGTCTATCTAACCTGTTCTTAAATATCTCCAGAGAGGGAGATTCCCCCACCTCCCTTGGCAATTTATTCCAATATTTGACCACCCTGACAGTTAGGAATTTTTTCCTAATGTCCAATCTAAACCTCCCCTGCTGCACTTTAAGCCCATTACTCCTTGTCCTGTCCTCAGAAACCAAGAGGAACAAATTTTCTCCTTCCTCCTTGTGACACCCTTTTAGATATTTGAAAACCGCTATCATGTCCCCCCTTAATCTTCTTTTTTCCAAACTAAACAAGCCCAGTTCACGAAGCCTGGCTTCATAGGTCATGTTCTCTAGACCTTTAATCCTTCTTGTCGCTCTTCTCTGTACCCTTTCCAATTTCTCCACATCTTTCTTGAAATGTGGCGCCCAGAACTGGACACAGTACTCCAGCTGAGGCCTAACTAGTGCAGAGTAGAGCGGCAGAATGACTTCACAAGTTTTGCTTACAACACACCTGTTGATACAACCTAGAATCATATTTGCTTTTTTTCAACAGCATCACACTGTTGACTCATATTCAACTTGTGGTCCACTATGACCCCTAGATCCCTTTCCGCCATGCTCCTTCCTAGACAGTCGCTTCCCATCTTGTATGTATGGAACTGATTGTTCCTTCCTAAGTGGAGCACTTTGCATTTCTCTTTATTAAACCTCATCCTGTTTACCTCTGACCATTTCTCTAACTTGCTAAGGTCATTTTGAATTATGTCCCTATCCTCCAAAGAAGTTGCAACCCCACCCAGTTTGGTATCATCTGCAAACTTAATAAGCGTACTCTCTATCCCAATATCTACATCATTGATGAAGATATTGAACAGTACGGGTCCCAAAACAGACCCTTGCGGAACTCCACTTGTTATCCCTTTCCAGCAGGATTGTGAACCATTAACAACAACTCTCTGACTACGGTTATCCAGCCAATTATGCACCCACCTTATCGTGGCCCTATCTAAGTTATATTTGCCTAGTTTATCAATAAGAATATCATGCGAGACCGTATCAAATGCCTTACTAAAGTCTAGGTATATGACATCCACCGCTTCTCCCTTATCCACAAGGCTCGTTATCCTATCAAAGAAAGCTATCAGATTAGTTTGGCATGACTTGTTCTTCACAAACCCATGCTGGCTATTCCCTATCACTTTATTACCTTCCAAGTGTTTGCATAGGATTTCCTTAATTACCTGCTCCATTATCTTCCCTGGGACAGACGTTAAACTGACGGGTCTGTAGTTTCCTGGGTTGTTCTTATTCCCCTTTTTATAGATGGGCACAATATTTGACCTTTTCCAGTCTTCTGGAATCTCCCGTCTGCCATGATTTTTTAAAGATCATAGCTAAAGGCTCAGATACCTCCTTTATCAGCTCCTTGAGTATCCTGGGATGCATTTCATCAGGACCTGGTGACTTGCTGACATCTAACTTTCCTAAGTGATTTTTAACTTGTTCTTTGTGTATCCTATCTTCTAAACTTACCCTCTCTCTGCTTGTATTCACTACGTTAGGCACACCTCCAGACTTCTCGGTGAAGACATGTACAACATGGTGCTGGATCTCTAGTCACATGGGCTAATAGTCACTGAGGGACCTATTCTCCATGAACGTATCTAGTTCTTTTTGAACCGTTACAGTTTTGGCCTTCACAGTATCCTCTGGCAAGGAGTTCCACAGGTTGACTGTGAAGAAATACTTTCTTTTGCTTCTTTTGTTTCTTTTGCTCAGGGAGTGTCCCAGGAAAGGCAACTAGGAGAGGGATCCGTGAGGGAAGAGGCATCAAAGGGGAGAGCTACGAGTGCCAAGCCCCTAAGGAAGAGCTGCTCCCAGAAGAAAATCCTTCACCAGACAGTGGCAAGTGCTCCAGATCACACAGTAATGACATGGTTTGCGCTCTGGCCTAGGGCTACTTGGTCCTGCCTTGGCAC